TAATCCCAGTGCTGCTAAGAAATACTGCAATCATATCATCAACTTCATATGTATGGAAAAGGTGCAGTGAATGAATGGATAACGTCATATGGAATGTCTGGCATGATGAAATGAGCCCCCACGTTAGTCAAAACAGTGGTACATGTACTAACAAAGCCATCAGGAATACCAGAATATTAGCATCTAGCTAACAGGAAAGAGCTACTTTATCTTGCTTTTACTGGCCAGCTTGGCAGTGACAAGCTACTCTTATCAAGCCTCCCTAACATCTATCAGATGATTTTGAGGGCCAATTTGGCAAAACAAACAAAACCAAGTGGAACTTGGTGACCATTATTTAAATGGCAGAACAAAGATGGCCTCCAAAAAGGTTCAAAAAGGTTCAAAAATACCCCTTTTGGAGCCAAAACTACAAGGACTTTTCACATAATTAGTCTCAACGGCTAACTTATATTTGTTTAATCAAAATTTCATCAAACAGGAGCTACAGGGCCATTCCGCTTTGGACAATGGCCAAGTATAAGTAAATTACAGTAGACATTTATACTGTTTCCTTTAAGTCTTTTGGCCAGATAATATCAAAGATAATTATGTTAACATCATTGAATAAGTAGTTATCTTACTACCTAAAGTACATGGTACACATTTTGGTAAATGTAAATGAATCATTACAAACTTGCTCTGAAAGCCATACAAGTATGTTTTATGACTGCATTTATGAAAGTTACTGCAGATAGCAGAACAATGAACAGGAAACTACCTTAATTTATTCAATGATTAATGAAAAGCCAAAGTGCAAGGAGCACATGCAACTCAGTGAATGGTTTAGTTAGCAGCTACTTTTAATTTAGGTTCAATAGTGATTAATGTTAATAGTATTATTGCAGTTATCACTGTCATCACAAAATGACGCACGCTTCCATGAATGACTTTATGGAAATTTATGAACATGGAGTGAACAACTAATGAGTGGTACAACATGTACGATCACAAAAGATAAAAAACACTCAACTCAATGGACCTTTTTGGTGATATGACAGCCACTTTGAAATACATACTAATTTGCCCCCTGAGCATCCCATAATAAGTAGCTATTTGAAACAATAGAATTCAAAATGGCCGTATCCCTGAAAAGATCCATTAGAACAATGATCAAATACAATGTTGAAAACATAATATACATATACACCAATACATTTCATATTGTTTGTCCATCTCAGGTCATTATTAATGCTTGTCCCAATGAATTGTTTCATTTATCGAGACCTAAAATAACACAATAACATGCTATTCCTTGGTTAAATGCGATATGAAAAAAAATCTGATGGAATGAGATTACATGACCTGAAATGGGATAATAAACAGAGAAGAACGGCCATACTTTCCTTGCTTATCACAGTGGAATTAGAGCAGTTTTCAGTTGAGTATTGATAGTAACCATGAACAATTAATTATTATTCTGGTTTTGGGTTTGGTTTTGGTTTTGGTTTTGGTTTTGGTTTNTGGTTTTGGTTTTGGTTTTACTATGGTTTGAGATTGGCTGAGTAGCGTAATTGGTAAGTAATTGGTTTTGGTTTTACGACACTCAATTGAAAACTGCTTTAACTATTAAAAGGGAAGTGTCATGACTCATGTTTGACTCAGCTGAGTCTCTCAGCAAATCAATATTGAAAAGAGCACATGCATCCAAGTTTTAAGTTATCATCATAGAGTCTTGCTCTCACACATTTTGCTCTAATGGCCATTGTCAGCTGAGCCTTTATGCGCCTCTCCTACAAAATGATTTACATAGTGTATCCTTCCTGCAGTAAGTTTTTATTCACATCAGTTGAATATACATTGCCTGTTTGCACATGTGGTCCAGTAAAGTAAACTGAAGATCTAGAATGCATTCTCCCGCAGATAATATTAGTATGGTTTTATCCTGTGTGGCATTTTCCCACTGTTTCTTTTAATGACTAAATGTTATTCTCTGTTCAACATGGCTGCTTATGCATGCAAAGCAATGTTATTTAGAATTTGGGAAAACAAACATCCACCATAAATTTTTCAAGTTTAAATTGAAACTTGCATGCTGGCATTGGTCATGACACTATTCCTTTTGTTTACATACCCATAACCACAACCCTTGTCTGGGTAAACAATAAAAGAACAACTTACCACCTTCGGAGAGAGTATCCATTGTAGGAGAATCCACACCTCTGAAGAACAAAACAAAGGGTAAGACAAATAAGACCTTGTCTTCGTAAAACTCTTCAAAGTACAACTAACCCCGATTTTTTTTTCCTTTAATAAATCTACTAGTTTTCCCAATTACTTCAGCGAATCCCAACATTTCTACAGGCATTTAAAGTTGTACTTTCTGCGGCCACAACTGAGCATAGTGGTGTCTGGGTCAGGCTTCTAGTGAAATCATTGAAGGACACGGCTAAAAACACTCAAGAGACATTTGACTGGGTTTCGAGCACTGTGAAAACATATTTGGGGTATTTGTACTTCAAATTTTATCAAAAATGGACAAGACTTTTAAATGAAAGAACTGTATTATCTAGCAATACAATTTAGAGTCTAGCTATGATTAGGACACCTATGATGTATTTTTTTCAATTTTGAAGTGTGGGTCGCCAGTTGAGCGCACCACACAGCAAGTCATGATCGACAATTTGCCAGCCCATTTGAGTCATCTACTAATCTATAACCTGATAAAGACGTATAACGTTATTTATGCTTTTGCAGCAGTTAAAACAGAAGAAATTACGTTTAGAAACACCTTTTGTCCTGATAAGCATCTGTGCTTTTTAGCGGGAAAATCCCATCCTACATTGCTGCAACATTGACTGCGAGATACTGGGTACTCTATTACGATTTGCACTATTTGCCACTATTTGAGACTGTTTGTCACCATTCGCACTATTTGAGACTATTCGCACTATTCGCTATTTGGGACTATTCGCTGTTCGCTGTTCACAACTATTCGCTATTCGCTATTCGGGTTTTCCAGACACACCTCCTCGATAGCTCTCTCTTTCAGTCCGGCTTTGCACAAGTCAGCACACTTTTTCTCGCTTCTGGACGAGTGTCATCGAGATAGAGATACATGCATTGAATGAAGAGGATTGCTCTCTCCTAAGCATGCTGTACTGCTACCCCATCCAACAGCACATCTTCCTTGCATTCTACAACGATTTTGAATCACACTATCGCATGTTTGCATATATTCTTCTTAGAAGCAAAACATTGTTAGTCCTTCGATGATGTCACTGGCCAACTTGCAGATGCCCCATTCTTCACTATTCCTTGGTTGTGGCCGTAGAAAAGGTCAATTTTACAGACTTTGAAAATTCATGGAAAATTAACAAAAAAAGCTACAACGGTTATTTTTTCACAGTGGTGATCAGAAAAACAAGGGGATTTATATTAAGTGAAAAAACCATTTTGTGGGTTAATTGCAATTTAAGGAAGAAACAAAGAGGAACAGCATTGATAATCAGCATGCTCAAAGTGATGTTGGGGGCACTTACCTGTAATGAAGATTATCTCCCCTGAAGGTAAAAAAAGAAAAAGAGACAATGTTATGACTGTGCACACATACTGCATTTCTGCACAGTTGATAAATTAACTAGAAGTTTCTGTTGTTTTTGTTTTTCACCTGGTACCCCTGACTTTGCTTGATGACCCTTCAATGGTACAACTCCCTTGTTATGACTTACCCACAAAGCAACAACTTTGTTATATGTGCAAAGATTAATGCTCTAAGGATAATCAAAATGTAATGACAGCCTTGCTTGTGAGTAGCTTTGAGCTTCAATAATGAGTTTTTTCTAACTTTTGTGAATCACTAATTTTAAGCTTTCCTTGTTTTTGAAGTCAATTCTCTCATTTTGCAAAAATTTTATTTCTAATTTTAAAAGTACACATGGCTTCTTTTATAATGCAATTTTTAATAACAGTAAATTGTCAAGCTACATTCCCTTGCAGATATACTCCACCCGTCCTCTTGAAAAGTTTGTATTTTCATACAGATGCCCCTCCCATAGCATGTTAATGTTATGATTATGACCTTGCATTGTCTTCACTACAAGAAAAAGAAAAATTCCTTGGCAGTTAATTTAATATGAGCGATGTGTTTGGACATGTAAGTCGTAACAGTAACAAATAAACCACTTACTCCATGCCTGTTCCTGCCACTGATCTTCTTATTCTTATAAACTTTGTACTTAATTCTCTCTAAAGATTTTCAAAAATGAACATGTACATGTAATTAATATACAAAACTCAAAGCATGTGATAAGCATGTCAGAAGCAATTATGGTCAAACCTCCTCTTAAAGGTCATCTCAGGGGCACAACAAACTGAAATGGTAGATACACGTAGGTGGCTCTTGCAAGAAGTCAGACTGCGTCATATATGACACCATATAATAGTCCGGTAATAAAATTTACCTCTTAATTTGTAAAGTTTAAAAAAAAGTGGTCAATGGCATGTGTGCAGATGTAAAGCATCTGATGCACGGTTACTGCATAGTTTGTACAACACTGAGTTTTACCTTGCTCAAAACATCTCTTTTTGTTATGTTTGGGGGGATAGACTAGAAGTGGTGGGAAGCTAGGGGGTGCATTTTAATGGTTACACTGTGACCACATCTCCAGTCCCCACCCCCCCGCCACGCCGGCTCCCACTGTTTATGGCAGAGGTAAATTCATTTTAGCCCCCTTGAATTTTCCTTAAAAAGATATTTTTACATTGCACATAACATGCATGCACAGACACATTACTCAAAGCTAACATATATTAGTATCACCCAACTAGTGGACTAATGCAAATCCTGCATTTT